GCTTTAATATGTCCAAGACTCATTTTATTGGTTTCAATTTTATTCTTGATGGCCTTGCCCATGGCCATAGCATTGTCTCTCCCACAGCCAGTTCTAAATTTCTAGGATTGACTATCGATCAGCATCTTAAATTCGAACCCCATATCGCCAAACTCAATGAGAAACTGGCATCAGGCTGTTTCTGCATGCGTGCCACCTTTCGCGAACTTGGTGGAGAGGTTGCACGTAACGTATATTTTGCCCTTGTGGAGTCACGCCTCAGGTATACCTTACCATTCTGGGGAACATGTTTCCAACACCAATTTCAGTCCGTTTTCGTGCTGTGCACAATCTCTTAAACTCACATCCAAGGACTCATTGCCGGCCCCTTTTTATAAGGAACAATATCCTCACGTTGCCTTCTTTATTTATTTTGGAGACTGCTTGCTTAATACATGGAAATAAACATAACTTTCCCGGTAACCGGCAGGTGTATCGAACTCGTCAGCTAAATGCTATTCCATTGCCAATACTTCACTCAACACTGATAAAGGGGTCGCTCATTTACAATGGTGTCGAGATTTATAATCATGTTGATCCGCAGACCAGAGGCATACAATCGCTTAGGGTCTTTCGGCGGGTTCTGAAGAGTTTCTTAATTGATAAAGCCTATTACAGCATAGATGAGTTCTTTGAGCTGGAGTGACGCCTTTGACTGTTCAAGATATCTTTTATTGTTGTAATTTTTTATAGTTGTTAAGTATTATATTATCGTTGTTGTATAAAAACGACGACGAAATGGACTGTATCAAAGTTTTATTCTTCTCTAACGTTCACGTTAACAAATCAAAAATTAGAATAATAATTCTTACTATAAGCAAAAAACAAGATTCATTTCTAATTGAAAATTAAGCAAATTGAACAAAATATGCCGACGTCGGTGAATACCAATAAAGTACTGCCCTCTAGAGAATTGTCCCCTCTCCGTCTAGTCTTCTCACTGCGGGTAGTTTACGCATCGCCGTAAAAATGTGTATTTGTAGATATTATTATTATTATTAAGTGTTTCATTACTGTCAAGAGATGTATATAGTCTGACTATTAATCTCGAGACAGAAATGAAAACTTTCCTCCGAGGTTTGTATACTATTTTATTTGCAAGCACACACCAATAATTATGAATATTAATTTAATTTTTTTAATATTAAAAAAATTAAACAAACATGCCAAAATCTGTCATTTACTGTTTCGACGTTTTTACCTGACAGGTTCTCATTGTTGCCAGCAAAGGTAAATAAATTAGAGTGAGGGAAATCGGTGAGGGAAATCGAATAGGGAAATCGGTGAGGGAAATCGAAGAGGGAAGTGACACAGGTAAAGTGACAAATTTTTAAAAGTCAGTAATGTCAAGATTACATAATGGTTGCAAATAATAGTTATTTATACACTGACTTTTTAAAAATTTGGAAGTGACACTTTACCTGTGTCACTTCCCTCTTCGATTTCCCTCACCGATTTCCCTATTCGACTTCCCTCACCGATTTCCCTCACTCTAATTTATTTACCTTAGCTGGCAACAATGAGAACATGTCAGGTAAAAACGTCAAAGCAGTGAATGACACATTTTGGCATGTTTGTTTTATTTTTTTAATATCAAAAAAACTGATTGACTAATCATAATTAATTGTGTGCTTGGAAATAAAATAGTATACAAACCTCGGAGGAAAGTTTTCATTTCTGTCTCGAGATTAATAGTCAATCTCTCGACAGTAATGAAACACTCCCCTACACGGTATGTAATATACTATTAAATCACTGAGGCTTCGGATTTTCAGTTGGGCAGAGTGACTTAAAATGCTGAGAGTGAGTTAAAATGTTTTTAAATCACTGAGGTGATAAACGTCACTTACCTTAGTTGTTATGCGTTCAATAATGTCATTTTTAAACGTCAAAATGGGATAAAATAATTTTATCCCTTAATTCTGTCAGGTTGCTGGTTTTTGCTGCCCAGTGATTTTTCTGTACTGCATGCTGTATTTGTTTGCACTGTCAACAGTGTCAACTGTCTTTGTTCTTTATTGCTTTTTCTTGCAAAGCCTCATTCATTATTATTTATTAATTGCAGTGTGACATGTTGTTTTTGTCAATTTTAATAATTTTGTTAATTTTTAAGCTTAGTTAGTAATATTGTATTGTTCTTTATATTATGCTTTGTCAATAAGATTTTTTGTAGCTATAGGTAATACTTCTTTGACAATAAAGTACTTTTTTGATTGATTGATTTTGTTAAAGTTGAATGCATTGATATTTGCCTGAAGTTTTTCCTCTGTAATGGCCATCACGATGTTATTATCCGCATATTGAAGTTCGATTATTGATGTCATCTTGGCTCGTAATCTGTTTAGGTTGAAGAATAAGCCGCCATCAAGTCTATACAGTATTTCCACATATGACGGCGGGTGACACTTGACAAGGTAAAGTATGGATGTGGGTACAATAACACAGCCCTGTTTCATGCCTTTAGTGTCATGGAAAGACTCATCTCCTTGTCCATCGTTGCTTAGGACGGTTGCATTTATATTATTATGCAACAGGCGGAGTAACTGTATATACTTTGACCGAATCAATGCAACTAAAGATCTATCAACATATATATTACATATTAAATCACGTGTTGTGCCATCATCAGTCTATAAGTATAGGTTAATATAATGGGATTAATCAATTTTGTTGCTGCAATTTACAAACCTAATTAAAATTTATTTCCCATTAAAATACCTAATAAATGTCTGTATTTAACTATAAATCGCTATTAAGCCGGCATCTTCATTAAACAAACTTTACGACAAATAATACGGTTGAGCTTTTACATTGAGTGTCGCACCGAAACGGTCATAGAACTTGAACGTAATAACGATCGTTTTATAGCCTTTTGTTTGCGCACAAGTAAATAAAGCCAATCTCATAGATATTATCCAATCTAACTGAATAAGATCGACCGCAGAAATTCAAACTTTATTGCAAAGCATCTCCTCCTCCTTCCACATTCACATTATCTAACTAGAACCATAATTGTGTTAAAGTGTTTCCGTACTCGTTGAAGCCAACTTCTCATCGTTTCCGAACTTTGTCTAACTCAACAACCGACTTGCTGCTATTGATCTTTCGTTTCCTTTGTAAATAGTTTGCCGATTATTGGTGCTTGTACGATATTTGCTAATTTTATAATTTACTCTCACGAAGTTACATACTCTTCTCAACGATTTATAAACTTGTTATACAACTAAGTATTATGTTAATAAATCATGATAAAAGAAATCTTTTTCGCTTTTTATAGTATAATAATAAATAAACATACACCTGAAAAGTGCTTCCAAGCTCGACAAAAACTAGATTTGATGCATTATTCAATGTATTTTCGTTTCGCATCGAGCCGGGAGTTTTCTTGAAACTTTGAGCTTTAAAATCATATTTGCACCTGTAAACTCAGTTTCGCGAAGAGACGATTGAGTTGTTTTAGAAAACCTCTCGACTATTCAAAGAAAATATAAAACATAATGATAAATAAACTGTACAATAATGCCAAAGAAACTCACACATTAACATTGTACAATGTTTCACTATATTAACCGGCTCATATACCCGACCCAACACTTAGTTAAGTAAAACGCGTTCTTGAATAGTTTCCCGGGGTGTTATGCAAGCAGCAGGGAGAGAGTCCTTACCAAGAACACTTAAACCTTCAAGCAAAGTTTCACAATGGGAATATTAGTCGGCGATATTCGTTTTAAGTTTATCAAGCTTCAATGTTTATTTAAAAGACTTTTGCAAACTTTGCAAATACTTTGAATGAGTTTTGGTAGCTGGTATAACATTTTAGTTGAAACTTCAAAATGTATTTTGCTGCCCTCATAGATGAGTTGTTGAATGTAAAAATATTTTATGTTGGGATGAAGGAGAGGAGTTTTTTAATGGATCGGTTTTTAACCCATTTGATAAGAAGATGATCCATGCAGATGTATTTGAATTAAAACGAAGTCATAATGTAACAATTTCTTATGGATGGAGTAAATCAAAGATAATTGAGGTAATTTTTCTAAAACCAAATGCCTGTTTTCCATTTTTGAATTTATTCAAGTGGAAAAAGTACATAACTACACCGCAAACTTCTCACCAAAAAAAAAATTTCGAGGTGCATTTCAACTTTAAAATTTCCCTCCGAATTTTAACATAATACACCCTCCTAGAAATATACCGCATATTAAGTGTTTCACTCCATCCAAGCTAGCGTTACAAAAAAAAAGTTGTAAAAAAAATAAAAAAAAATCTGGACTAGCAGCACCAAGCCTTGCAGCTATATCACGAATTCATGCCGGTTTCTGTCTCTGCGGTACGTCTGTGTCTGTGCCGGGTGTATCGGCATCCGAAACGCTGTAAAAAAGCAATTAACGAATGTACGTACAAAAGTGCAGACGCGACAATTTTAACTATGGAGATTTTTTTTTTGTAGCTTTCATAATTTTCAGCGGCGGACAATAATTTGACTTTTAATTTTTGCTGAGTTACATGCTTTGTTGATGTATAATATTCTTGTTCTCACCGAAGTGCTGGAAACTTTTCTTTTTCTAGTACCCTTCGACCATTCAAAGAAAAAGAAACTTTTACATTAATTGGTTCTTTTTCGAATGCACTAAATAAGACATCGATTGTATAAAAAATACCTTATCTCATAGTATCCACATAAATTCGTTTCGCCGCCGCTGTCAGATTTCGTTCTCGCATTCTAATAGGGAACAATGACATAGAGAATAGCATATCGCCTTATTTGAACCGAAAAAAAAAATGTTCCTTCCACTTTTCACAAGTCAGAGGGTCATTGAACGATTTAGAGGTAACCGAGGGCGCGAGAAGGATGCTATTTGCAAATGTCAATGTGATATACGGATTGGAAGCAGTGTTACTTTCTAAGCATAATTTATTTGGATATGATTCTAATTCCTAATGGTGACAATTTGTTTCAGAACAAGGCTACGCCAATACAACGAAAAAGAAGAACACATTTTCTAGGATTCAAAGGATATTTAAAACGTCGCATAGAAAAGAAAAACACGGCGCCAGTTCTCCTAGGCATGGTCGGGCTACCACTACCAAAGGGGTTCCACAAAGGGTAAGTTATTGTAGAATATATACGAGTCAACATTTGTAGTTGATTGATTTAAAAGTGCAGCCTTTACAGGCAGCCCTGTCTCACCTTAGGCCTGCAACTTTTAAGAAAGATGCACAAGCGCTGAGGTCGGACATGCTTTATTTCATCAGGTTCCAGAAACCTATACCCAAGGTATCGTAGTCTGTGACTCGGGACCCAAACAAAAGTGACCATGACCATGTTGAGTCTACTCAGTAGTAGTACGCATTCAGTCAAGCATGAGCCTTGAGTTGACATGGTCTGAGCAAAGGGCACGGATTACTGCCTGACTGTCGCTGCATATAAATATATAAGAATTTAACTTGTACTGGATACTCGCTCAGTAGGTTAGTAATTTGGAAGCCGACCTTGGTTTCCATCGTGCATTGTTGCTAATCCTTGCTTGCCTCCTAAGCACACACCTGTATGTTGAGTATCGACCCAGTGCAAGACTGATTCTCGCCACAGGCCTCTCCCCATATACACCAGCCCTGCCTTAGTACCCTTTCCATCAGAGACCTATCTGTATATTACTTGAGCTTCTTAGACTTCTGGGCTAGGCTTTAGCCAGTTTTCCCTTGCAGGGATGATGACCTTGTATTGTCTAGGGAGGGCTGAAGTGTTTTGCATTGCATCCCTTCAGGTGAAAAAGGGGTCCATGTTGGTAGTATTACTCTACAATTAAAATATTCATCGAATAATTGCTAACTCCAACTTCTAGATTAATTTTTTTTTTAGCAAAATTCACAACAAATATATAAATTAATAAAAACATGCAAATACAGTTTTGCTCGACTGCAAACTAAAAATGTCCTTTTTAATATTTATTAAAATTGCGGTCAATAACGATGAATCAAGTTTCACCAATTTAAATTGAAACTAGTTTTGCAAATTGGCCAATTTTCAATAGTAATACTTGGTAATACCTATAAATTTATAAAAAATAATTTTTCATCTGTCAACAATAAATTTTGATTATTTTCTCCCCAACATTTGTCACTAGCTTTTGTATCAATTTGCGGCCATTCCAATTATTATTTCTATAATAATTCTATCAAAAAATCATTCCACACTGCTAAATCTAACAACTACCATTAGAGATGTCTTGTCTCCCCCGCCGAAATGAAATAATGGCTTCGCCCGTCTATTGACGTGGCATCAGATGGGCTATTTCGGACCATTTCGCCCCATTTTCCGGGCTTTTCAGCAAAATTACCGAACATTAACGATAATTTTCCCTCGACTGAGACGATTTTCTTGCGAGCAACTTTGCGGATAAATTAAGCGCCAAAATCCCACCCTTTCGAAAGTGTAAATGGTTACCGTATTTGCATAGCCTGTATTATTTATACGAACTAATAGAAATTCACCAATTAAATAATATATTCTTATTATAATGGAAAAAAGTTTGCATTATTCATTAGTGACATCCAAATTTATTTATGTTACATAATTTAAATTATTTAAACGGAGCAAAATTTAATGTCATTTGCAAAAAGTAAATTTAATTTAAAAATATACAGGACAATTTCGGCGTCCTTTTCCACCTAAACACACAGTGTCCGCCATATTTCCGGAGGATTAATGCAATTGTATTGCGGCAGACAGGCCAGGAAAATTACGAAATTACCCTGTCAACGCATGTCCAGGTAGAGTTCGTAACTAGGAATGGAAATATTTTTCGCTTAAGTCGATAACTGTAATTTTTCTAACAAGAATTTTATTACTATTTGGTTTAAAGAGGCTAAATATGTTAGTACATTTTTGTCTGTGAATTGACAAATCTACGTGGCACTTTGGAATTGGAAAGTGTTCTCGGAAAGTATAGCTTCCAGAAAATAATCAAAATTCATCAATTACAAAGCTTGGTTGATCGATCTAAGGCGGGCTCAGGTGTGCACTGCAGCCTTGAGGCTTATTGTGCTACCCTCTCTCTTGCTGAAGCAAGTTACGCCCCTTTGATGAGATCTGGCAGCTTGCTAGTAAGTTGGTAAACAGAATGCTTCACAGTCGTCTAATATGTGTAAGGCAGTTTCCTCCTCTTCACCACACAGTCTACATATCATTGGGCTATTGTAGACTCTCATTTCCTGCATGTGCACTTTAAACTGGCAGTGTCCTGTTAGTAGTCATACCACCAGTAATTAAGCTGTTAGCATCTTCAAGGAATTACTAATTATCCCGTTGCTCCAGGTGTAGACAGCCAAATGTCGAGGTGTTGATGGGTCGACCACCTTTCAACTACCATTCTTAGAACCTGCTCCGATATCCCAAATGCGGGTTCTGGTCCTGCGTAGGGTGTAGCTGCGCCCGCTCTTGTCAGTTTCATCAGCTTTTTCATTGCCTTCTATCTCCTAATACCCAGAAACCCACTAGCAGCCTTATCTTGTTATTCCTTGACGACAGATCTACCAGGTCGTATAAGCATTCCATCGTTATCTTCTAAGTAAATAAATCTATGTAAGTTCAGAACGACTCCACATCGTCTGAGAGAATGCTTATATTCTGGTTATAACCCAGTCTTAGAATCTCCTGTGCGCATGCTTGGATTGTATGAATTCCTGGTAAACTGCCAGAGGGATGCTTTGTTTTGATCTTGGTCTTTCACCTTATACGCCAGCTCCAGCTCCATCCGCTGTTTTGGAACCGTCTGTATACTAGACCAGGCTTCTTCTTATTATATGAAGCGTTATGGGTTATCACAATTTGTGGATAACCCCGATGATGTACAGACATGCCAGTCTGTGAAGGCTGTTCAGTTTATTGACCGTCGTTACTTCTGCTTTGTAACACCTTTTGTTAATGAATTAACAAGAGGCCCGGTTTGCTCAGCGAATAATTATTAGGGGTGGGTTGATAGTTTAATAAGCACAGAATGACAAGAGCGCCACTGAATTGGGATGTGAAAATTCAGAAACACACCTAAAAAATAATCAGTAAACGGTAATTGGTAAATCTGAAAAGGAAATAAATGAGGCACATAACTCAACCAAATCCTGACATAAGTAAACCAATAAGACAATTAAGTTTCAAATTGAAATAGTATATATTTTCACAGTGAGGTCAAAAATCAAGTACTGAATAACTTTAAAGTATAAAATCACTTATTGCTGCACGGTAAAACCAGCTCCCCGGTAAAAGCAGCTCCCCGGTAAAAACAGCTCCCCGGTTGGCTCCCCGGTAAAAACAGCTCCCCGGTAAAAACAGCTCCCCGGTAAAACCCACGAGGGGGTTCGAAATTTGGCAATCACGAGACTTCTTATATAAATTTTTTCGACAATCAATGAGGAATTACCCCTTGCTCTAGGTGTAGACAGCCAAAAGTCGAGGTATTGATGGGTCGATCACCTTTGCCACTACCGTCCTTATAACCTGCTTCGATAGCCCAAATGCGGGTTCTGGTCTTGTGTAGGGTGCAGCTGCGCCCGCTCTGGCCAGCTTCATCAGCTTTTTCATTGCCTTCTATTTCCGAATATCCAGGAAACCACAGCAGCTTTATTTTGTTATTCCTTGACGACAGATCTTCCAGGTCGTGTAGGCATTCCATCGTTATCTTCTAAGTAAATCTATGTAAGTTCAGAACGAATCCTCATTAGCCTTAGAATCTCCTGTGCGCATGCTTGGATTGTATGAATTTTTTGCAAGCTTCAATTCCAACAAAAAGGTAGAGTACGGTAGTCGGTAGCCATCCATTTTTGGTCATTGGACGAGAGAAGTTGCATATAGAAGTTGCAGATTCTAGCCTTGAATCGAGGTAGATAGAGGCTAGAAGTTCAGTTTTTTTCATCAAATGTGGAGGTACAGGTATCGACACGTGAGGGACTTAAAAGCTCTATGCCCAGAGATGTGGCTTGTTGAAAATAGACCCCTTGAGAAAAACAGCTCCCCGGTAAAAACAGCTCCTCGGTAAAAACAGCTCATCGGTAAAAACAGCTCCCCGGTAAGAACAGTTCCCCAGTCAAACGAAAAGGGCGCCTTCTAGTGTAATAATTTAATGATTGCTATTATTATTTTCGACAGATTATTTTTTTTTTTTTAATGCCAGTCGCCAGACTGTCAAATTGAAAGTAATAATTAACTTTATATTATAATTGAAAGACAAAAGGAACAAATACTAACTGTAGCATTTCACATGCTACAGCTTTTGCCCATCAGATTACAACTTCGTATACAATTATGGACCTGATAACCATGGCGTACAGCAATAGCATCATCCTTGGTCACAGACCCCATGTTTTTTCCAACAGGCTTTTGCAGCTAACTAGACACAGGTGAGTCTCATGTTAATTTAGGTATGAAACGAGTCAACGTATTTTTTATGTACTTCTATCAGCAAGAAAAACCATATACATTTAATAGTTCACAGACAACAATTTAACATTATACGATCTCGCACATAAGATCTTGCAGTCTGATACGATATACAACAAACAAAGGGAAATTCCTACCGAATTTTCCGAGCCATTTTGCGGCGAACTCGCCCCATAAACCAGCCAGAAACGTTCTTAAGAGGGCCCTTCTTTCCTAACCGTCACTTTGCATAGTTAAATTCCCTAAATAGCCAAACTTGCGGCGCGCTTCCGAAAAAGATTTACTTTTATTGCCTTAACCCCACTATAGCATATGCATTCCAGAGTATGTGTGAAACGACTGCAATACATAGATAAACTAATACTTGAAGTTAAATAATTTTAATCCGTGCCAATTGGACAATGTACTTTTTTCCTTTTCTACATGTTGCATTGATACTTGAAACGATTTTCGTACAAAAGGAATTCTTTGACAATAGAGTTGCCGAATCGCGTTTCCGCTTTTCTAGGATTTAGGAGACGATTTTAGAGACTATTCAAAGAGAGTTAAAGAAACCTTTGACTGAAATATATTGAAAGTTCATAGTCAGATTTTGTGTTGTATAATAATTTAATTGTGACGCCACTGGGTAAATTTTTTTACCTTATATTTCTCGAAAGATTTTCATAGTC